AAACAATGTGCGGGGGGTGGCCAAAAAAAAAAAAAAAAAAAAAAAAACTTTGATCAGTCTGGATGCATCTGACACACTAACAACAAAAATGAAGGAGAATGTTGGTTTGTTTATATGATATGTTTTTGTTTTCGTGAAGGAGTACTGAACAAAGTACTGAATATAATCCAGCACAGACAGACTTGTCCTGCTGACTGACTGTGTCGTCCATCAAAAACAAACAAAACCTAACATGACAACTTTGTTGAGTCGAAATCCACTCAAAATGCTATCACAAGTGTAAAAGAAATTTAAAACATAAAATATGAATACATCAAAAGAACAGTTTTCACTCTTTCTCTTCCTATTCTGAGAACAGCATCACTCGTCCTGACAGCAGACTGTTATCGGTTAGGATTGAACTGATTTAACTTTAAGAGTGATGTCACATGGGGAAGTGATGATGTCATATTGCCCTTATATTGTGACCATGTTTGGTGTTGAAAAGCAGAGTCTAATGATTTGCAACTCTGGTCTCACTTTCTGCTAACAGGTTGTTAGCACAGACAACAGTAGGACGACTCTGGCCGTGTTGGATCATATGTACTTCTAACTCATCCTAACTATGTCTATTATGTATGGACTTTAACTAGACTGGTTTTCTGACAGAGAGGTAAACATTAAACACAATGGTGACACAATTTTGGTTGTGAGATGCTAGTCATTGGAGCTGCTCTTCACCTCAGACAGCTGCATTGCTGATGGGGACAGCAGGGTTTGTGGCGATTGTCTAGATAAGCCTGTTGATCACGTGCTCCTGCAGCCACAGCAGCAGAGGCTGTACAGAGCTGGTGGGCCCCGGCACAGCCTCTGTGTAGAGCTGCAGCAGTACCTCTTGTAAAACAAAAAGCAGAGGCAAGCTCACACTCAGTAGCTCATACAGGAATGTATAGTCCTGGGCGTTGTCCCTCAGGTGACGCACAAATGCCCGCGCTGTAGCATGCACACAGCTGGACACATACCAGGGGGCGTTACACACAGTGCGAGACACACTCAATGGCCAGCTCAGCTGTTTCTTTATGAAGGAGCAGAAGGTACCTGCTGCAGGTTTACCGCTCATGTCTGCTGAGCTGCAGGACGGAGTTCTGTCTTTATCAACAAGACGTGGCTCCTGAACCCCGGCTCCATTCTGAATCTGAGACAAAGGGCGTCAGGCACAGAGGTTAGATTTCTCACTTTCAGATACTATACCAGGTAGAGAGTGTTTACAGAATAAGAGGTCATCGTCCAGCTACTTACGGAGCGCAGAGAGGAACTCCTCCGCAGATTTGTCCCAGTGTTACGTTGATCAAAATGTAGTTTACAGTACAATTTCCCTTAAAGAAGAAAGCATATGTCAATGACAGAGGGACTAAATAATGGCATGTCCAAACAAGCTGCAACATTTGCAAAAATATTAATAATATATTTTTACATATACTTACATATACTGTACTCACATACAGTGTATAGATACACTATGTATGTATGCATATAAAGTATGTATGTATGTATGTATAGGCATATATATGTGTATATATATATATACATATATATACAGATGCATATATTATTAATAAATACTCACTATTTTCAGAGTCAAAAGCATGTGCTCCCTGTCTGAGAGTGGAGCTGCAGGTGGAACAGCGGAAACACTCCCTGTGGAAGTACAGGCCCTCGGCACAGATTCTCTCCACCATGTAAACACGCTTCTCACACTCATGACACTTGTCGCCCGACGGTGGGAACGCCCGTCTCACGGAGCCACCCTGAGAACAGACAGATTTAGATCACATTGTGACCACACGTCAAAAAGGTCACAGACTGCATCACTGAGCCACACTTTTTGATTTACTAAAACTGTTCACTTCATCCTAAAGGTGCTGACATGTGCATGAACACACAGTGTGGGATTGGAAGAACCTTGAACTAAGATGTCATAAAAATGATTTGAGCACACGTCATATTTGCCTGAACTAGGATTCCCCAGAAGATATCATATAAATATGGGCAGCTGTGTGGGAATTCATTTAGAATTAAAACAAAGAAAAAAAAATCTGATGGATGGTAATTGTGTGCCCTGAGAAAAAGGCCTGCCCAACATCTGGCTGTTGGAGTCAGAGCAGTCTGTTTAGAATGGGTGGAGTAGAAAAGGCCACAGAGTGTCACCACAGGAACACACACTCGTGCTGTGTGAGGGCTGCTGCTAATTAGAAACACCAGGGCAGAGACAACAGCTCAAAGCCTTCTTTTTTTCTTTTTTTCCTAAATCTGATGATTCACTGAAAACAGTGAAATCCTGTACTTTTAGGACAGGGTTGCTGTGTGTGTCGCTTGTGGGATGAAAGTGATACACCGAGCCTTTTACCAGTGGAACTACTTGACATTATGAACTCCAGCTCATGTGTCAAATACGACAAGATTTTCAAGCATGGCCCTGAAATAAATCTTGACTTTGGGTTCAATTTCAACCCACAGGTTAAAGCCAGGGAAGGTAATCCAGTAGATACTAGGGGAAAAAACTACAGAGCATCATCTGAAACCATTTTTTACGAAACACACTGACTCAGGTAATGTGAAACTGTTTACTATTGGTAAGGAATCCTTTATATCCTTAAGTTATGAGGAAGATAATTATCATGAGAATTTCACTTTAAATGTCAATCATTTAATCGTTTTTTAAATGACTTTGTGAGAATGAAACCAGGGGTTTTTGCAAATTAAGGTTTGGGTTAAAAAAAAGCTGCATTAGCTACATGTTCAGAGCCTGTAGAAAAAGAAGCCAATGGAGTTAGTGGTGTTCCCCTGAACACTGTCAGTCAGACAGAACTGGAGAAGCCTCTTAGATGAAAAGGTAAAGTAATTATCGGAAAACTGTAGCAGCTTTCCTTGAAGTCAATCCAAGCATTGCTTAAAAATGACTGACTCACCCATTTAAAAGAAAATCAAACTAAATAGTTTTTTAAAGGCCATGCAGAAAGTTTAGTAGTCAAACCAACTCTTCTTGATTGATTCTGGTGAATTTCCAATATTAGGTTGTTCAGTATATAAATTCTCGATAATATAAAGCTGGCTGTGGTTGTTTTAAATAATTAAAAGTTAATTCCTTTATATAAAGTTGGAAGATTTAGCTAAATCTGTTGAATCAGTGTTGGTCCATTCAGAGTGACCAGTTCAACCTAATCCTTCATGTGTTTGGACCGCAGGTGTGAACTACAGTAGCTGGACGCCAGCATCACCACGAAGGGTCCAAACAATCATCTTAGTACTTTCAGTGTGAGGCCAATGTCTTCACTCACACCTTTAAATTCAATATCCATGTCTTATAAAATGATGGTAAATACATTAAAATAAAATGAAACTGGGACAGTGCAGCAGTGACAAGCCCACACACAGTTAGGAACAGCAAACAAAAACCAACAAGGCCAGACTGGAGGTTTCAGAGCTCCAGATTATTACCTTGAGTTCAGCACGACTGTCTCCTGAGAACAGGCCACTCAGGTGCACAGCTTTCTCTTTTATACTCTTTGTGTGAAACTCTCTAGTCTGCTGTGTCTGAGCCTTTTTCTGCAGGATGACACAGAGCAGTGCAACAAAAGAAAAACCTCGTTACCCCCGTTAACCTTGAGAAACACACTCTCCCACCAGTCAATACGAGGCAGTCGGTGTGGGTGCAGCCATAATTAGGCTGACTATTATCAGTTTAATAAGCTCCACACAGATAATGATGAAAAGATCTTCCTTTTCTCCCCCCTAATGATGAGCAGGGTCTGACAGGTAAGTGTGGGGGAGGAGAACAGTGGAGTCATTGTGAGGAGCGGCAGCTGTTTTCTTATATTAATTTCCACCACGCTTGATGTGGTTCAGTCTGAACTAGGAAAAAGCAGTTTTAGTTACATGATTAAGTCAAATCACATTTCATCTCACGTTTATTTTCAACAGTTTTAGGTCAGGTTTAATCAGGTGATGCTGCTTTTGTTTATTTCATCAGTGGAGCTACTGTTATAGCTGTAAAAACAGAACAATGACGCAACTAAACTGAGGTTCTTCAAAATAAAAAATAGGCCATTGATGTAACTACTGCCATGAATACATTTATCCAGAAATAGCTAGAGACTGATGAAATATAAGAACATTTTCACCAAAGTAGTTCAACCTGGCCATGTACACAACATGAAATCACATAACCTCAAAAGTAAGCCAACAAAAAATCCAATGAAAGCTAACGTTAGTAGTTAACGCTTTGAGTATAATTCAACCAGTCAGTATGACAGGATTTTCAAATAAGCCTTAATATTTTTTTTTTTTTGGTTTTAAAAGTACTATGTTATAAGTCAAATTGTAGCAGAAACGGATCCTCGTATGTCATAAAACAACACTTTAAAAACTATTATCTAGCACATGTTTTTTTATTCTTTAAAGAGATTAAGCTGTGGCCAATAAAAAACACATACTGTATTTTTGCAGATACAGGCAGCAGCTTGCACACAGACTCAGATGGGACCATTAATCCACTGACGGTGTCTGTCTCAGCCTGTGCCAGCTCTGGAGGCCTGTTCTTTCCATTTCTGTCAGGCTGGATGATTACGGGGCTGACTTCACCCTCTGACTACACATTACACAGGCCAACGCGTATAATCAGGGCATGATGTATAATCAACATTCAGTCAAAGGACGTTTTTGGACGTTTAGACCATGCAATCATGCTGTTTAGCAAGGTAACAAAAAGAAGTAGAAAGAAGGTCAGGCATGAAGTAAGAAAGATGTACAAGAGTAAGAAGAGTAGGCGGCGTTCACCTCAGAGACGTGTTCATCCACCTCCCTGAGGCGCTGCAGCACTCGGGACATGAACTGGACGGCTGATTGACAGGAGGAAAGAGGAGGCGGGGAGTCGGGAC